TTGACTTTTAAAGGATTAACATTGTTAAAGGTCGCTCCGATCCGAGCGAGTGACACAAAAGACGGTTTGCCACGGGGGTGACAACGAGTGTAGCAGCGGAGGGGGACAGGTTTTGTTCACTCCCGCATGTCCCCCAGAGACGCTGTCATTGTGGTTCCCGTAACTGCCACACGCGGCTGCAGATCGGCAAATATTTTGTTTTCTTTGCGATTGCGCACTGGAATAACAGTTTTTCAGGGCAAGGCGACACGTTTTTGGTCGCTTGTGCTTGGATAAACAATATAAAAAATACAAACTGCCAATTCTTTCAACACTAAAATCTTTGCCCTTAAAGGAGCTGTGCAACGATTTTAACGTTGAAAAAATTGGCATCTTCTACTTTCGACATTGTTCACCTTGTCACAAAAAACAGAAAACACACCTCCTACCTTTGAAATGTAGTGATTCTGCCGCGTAATCGTGAGGCAAAAATTAGAATATTCCCTGACCTGCAGCCGCGAGCGGCGGCCATGAGAAACGCACAGTATGACGTCAGTGGGGTCTTGTAGAAAGATAGCAAGTTGTGCGAATACCTGCTCGATAAAAGGTAACTTTTCTATAAATCTTGTCGTTCCAACATAAATATAAATGCGTCAAAAACCTGGTATCATAGACAAAACTTTTATTCAACGGAGTTTTAGTGGCGCCATCTATCCTAGGTCCACAAAACCGTCGGCTCTATCTGCTACCGCGAACAGCCGCCAGAAGCCGGAAGGGGAGGGGGACAGAGCTGGACGGGTATAGCCGGACCCGGATGAGACTTTCCTCCTTTTACCATATTGTTCACGCTGCGCCCGCTAGCACGTGGTCACGCGGTCGCGAGCGTCTGAATTCTCGCTGTACACTGATGGCCCCAAGGAGAGAGCTTCACCGGAACCCCGCGCAAACCCCATTGACGTCGCAGCGCACATGACTCGGAAGACTGTGAAGGAGTTGGGAGGTGCTGAAAACCTCAATCTTTGTCCATTTTTAAAATAAAAACTAGGACATGCAGGCCAAAGTGGTTTTTAGGGGCGAAGCTCCTTAGGGGCTAGTTGTGTCCGTATGTCCCTCCGCCGTCGGGTGCATGTGCTCCTGCTCGTGAGCTCACGTGCTCACGAGCACGTGAGCACATGCTCCCGTGCTCGTGTAGAGCAAAAAAAAAAAAAAAAAAACCGGCATCTCCACGTGGTGAATGATGTTGACTGGGGCGACGCTCTGGTGGTGCTTGTCTGCGTAGACGCTGAGCCGAAGCATGCCGAGCCTTTCGTTCGTTTTCATCCATGTCCGAAAGAGAATGTGTGGTATGGAACGTGGTTATATACGCATGGTGAGCATTTGACCGCAGCGTGAAATGGACGAAAACGGACAAAAGGCTCGGCATGCTGCGGCTCACCGTCTACGCAGACAAGCACCACCAGAGCTTCGCCCCAATCAACATCATTCACCACGTGGAGATGCATTTCTTTTTTGTTCTTTACTTCTGCAAGGTCGAGACACTAACTCCCATATTATTTAAGCAAAGCACTGAAACTGTTGCACAGCTCCTTTAAAGGGCAACTCCGGTCAAAACTCAAAATGTAATAAATTACTGGTATCGCTGTAGTGACACAAGATACGACCCCAGCCAAAATATTACCTTAGGGGGACGCCGCATTCTCAACTAATGCCGACAACAAAAATGCGACCCGCCGCGAGCCGCTGCTCCTTAGCGGGCGGCCAGCGGGTTGCCGATCGCTTTTTTTCTTTTGGTCCGGGCGTTGCGCGGAGCATGCTTCTTTGAGCCGCTACCACCGCTTCTTCGGCTTGTTATTGGCGCGTTAAGCCGTTGCTTTTATCTGTAGCCCGTGTAGCTTCGGCATAGCCTTTTGTTTATTTGCTTGTGAGGACTTTAAGACTCGTTTTAGCGAGCAACTCGGTGCCCCCAAGACTTACAAACTGTTCCTCGAAAGATGCTGAGTACAACATGTAGCGCTGTAGGCTGCTCAAACAACCCGCTGCACAACCCGGAGGTGCTTTTTCCCAAGTTTCCAACGGACCGGAAATTGGAAAAGGTGTGGGTGAACGCTGTTCGACAAGTGGACTTTAGACTTCGGCATTTGCGCGCCCGAGGATAAAAGAACAAAAAAACAGACGTGTACAGCCCAGCACATGTGTGTTCGGGCGCTGCGGCCCGTGCCGGAGAGCCTCAAAGCTTCGTGTCTGAGACTGACCCGCAGCGCGAAAGCGAGAGGGCCCCCAGTATTGTACGTCACTGGCAGCGTGGCGTAGAACGACGCCGCTCCATCCATGGAGCCCCGATGACAATTTAGGCTTATCGACGAGTACGGAAGACCGCACACACGGCCACAGCCTCCGAGTATGGCAGCGGACGAGTTCACTCGTTCTCCAGTCACTAGCTTTTGGGTATACAAGCGACGAGTACGGCATAGCGCACGCACGGCGGCGGCCACCGAGTACGGCACCGTACAAGTTCACGGGTTTTCCAGTTGCTAGCTTTTAGGTATATGCACTAACTCTTGCTATATATGCTGGATAACTACCACGTGTACAAAATTAAAACAAAATCAGCTTACCTCCTACCGAACGGCACCTACAGAGGTAGGTGCCGTTCGGCCTGCGTACTCGTTGAACAAGAACGATCCTGACGTCACGTTCACATAGCGGCTGATTTCCAGTGTTGCCGGAACCTCGAGCGGCTAGTTTCGGTTTTGTTGGCCGCGCCCCAAACAAAACGTTGAGGCGTCGATATCTTTAAAACTACACACAATAAAGAGAAAAAAATTACACCTTGCAATTCAGACTGCACTAAAAACAGTCATAATCCCAAAATCGAAAGTATAGACCGGAGTTGCCCTTTAAAGGACACATGCAAAGGAAAAATAAATTTTTTTAAGCCTGGTTGGGAAAAGGAAGTCATAAAATGAATTTACAACGAAAAATAAAAATTTTTAGAACTATATTTACGGTGCTATACGAATTTGTAATTGGTGCCCGCGGGCGCCTCGGAAAAGAGGCCGCTATTTGTCACGTGACTGGCCGCTATTTGTCACGTTGCACTTGCACTCTTTCGGAAGCTTCCTATGGCCTCTAAAAGTAACTTATTAATCTTTGTTTGAAGTATAACTAAAAACTAAGATTAATAAGTAACTTTTAGAGCCCAATGGAAGCTCCTGAAAAAGCGCAAGCAGACGTGATAGACCCCCCGAAGCAGAGGCCCCCCGGAGCAGACGAACTTGCGTGGCAGCAGCAGCACGCGTTGAAACGGCGGCGCACCACGCTCAGCGTGCGGCGGCAGCGGCGCCGCGCGATGGTGTTAGGTCTACCACGTGACCCGCGGTAGCTCCCGTGGGTGCCAGCTACAAATTCGTTTTGCGCTGTAAGTATAGCTCTAAAAATTTTTTTTCAGTTACAATGAATTTGGTTAAAAGAAGCAAGCGATGAAAGGTTTTTTTTTTAATATACAAAGAATGTATATGCATGCTCTAGCTGAGTGACGGGCGTCCAAAAGCTTGTGCCACCATATTAACTGTATATGCCGTAGAATACCGCGCATCCGCCCATACCACACTAGTAAGTGCCCATACTCAAATTTGTAAGATCTGAGAAAATATGCACAGTACATTCATATGTAAAATTGATGACCGGACAAGCACTTATCTCCCATTTTTTCGCGATTATCTCTAAGTTTTGAGTGGGCGCTTGCCCGGTATTTTACGGTAGTCAGTTTTAGACTGTCCGCTCGACCTGCAAGCCTGTCTTCCCGTCTTTACGCCACTGAAAAGCATGGGTATATTTGAATGTTGGTTTTGGCATTATTTTCACTTGCCGATTTCACAATAGCTATTTTGAATTTTGTAATACTAAATAGCATACTGGAAAGGGTCAAGGTCGGTAATTCCGAAGATGTAGTTAGTTGGGACGTAGCTAAAGAAAAAATTAAAGACGTCTACAATCCCCTGTAGTGCCGAATTAGAGTGCAGCTCTTGAGGGGGAGGGGGGGAAGGTTTGGAGAGGAGGGTATGCCCCTCCTCCTCATCCGTACTTTCCCCTCCTCTCCTCCCCTGGCATTTAGCAGAAAATTTTTCCGCTAAATTTAGCGGGGAAATTAACCCATAATGCAACGCGCAGTAACGTCATGAGTGATGTCACGAGTGACGTCACGTGTGCCATCATTATGGGAAATGTCCCATAACGCAACGCATAGTTACGTCGACGGAGACGCCACTCAAGCTGGAAATGGGTGCCTAAGAGCTGCGCTTTAAAAAATTGCCAAAGTAAACCTACGGTGCCCGTCTGCTATTTACGCACCCTCTGGCTGGCGTAGCAACAGACAGGTGGCAGGAGTGGCCCCGGCGTCGGCTTATTGCCTGGTCGCACCAAAAGCAGACAATGTTTCTGGGTCATAAACGGTGCTTGCAAATAAATGGCGCACAAAGCGAATAAAACCGACGGTTTGTCGAACAATTTCTGTTACGTGTCGTCTGCTTTTGGCACGACCAGGCAGCAAGCTGACGCCGGGGCCACTGCCGCGATCTGTTGGTTGTTGCATCAGTTGGAGTGTTCGTGAATAGCAGACGGGCTCCGTAGATAGGAAAAATCGGTTATCATTCTTTTTTGACGTTTTATTCGGGTATGTTTGTTCTTCGAAATTTTGAAGCAATGTTTCCATTACCTTTGGGTAGCTCTCCAGTAAGTTGTAGCGCGATACGTTACCGAACCGATTTATGCGATCTCCTTAAAGCCTTCCCCCAGACTCGTGGGCACGCTGTAGTTTACAAGGTCTGTAATCCTCTGCACTGCTTTACCACATCAATTCCCAGACTAGGAGGGGTACCCTGGTTATCGATTGAGAGACGTAAGCCAAGTTGGATAGTTCGAGAATCCCCGGTTTAGGGGATGACCATACATAGCCTTTGTCTCAGCTAATTCTGGAGGATTTGTGACTTTTTTCGTTTTTGTATTTTTTTGTTTTTGCACAGGCCACAATAAAGCAGTACGAAGCATTGCTGGAAGCAGGGGAAGCAAATGAAAAGCCGGCGAAAGGTCCGAGGGGAAGGCAAGTTTCGGAAAGGTTCTCCTCCCAATGTTCCAATGTCTCGTGTATCTCCCGTGTATGTCCCTTCAACCAGGGATGTTCTGTCTGGGAATGAGATATATGCGCCAGGAAACTGAGGGAGAGGAGGAGAGGAGAGAGTGGTGGGGACGTCGAAACACTGAGCTCTGGTTCCAATGATTAGTGGGTATACCTAAAGCTAGCCGCCTTTGTCTCCTCTGCACTCGTCGAACGCGCTAGAACGGAGAAAGCCGGTGTTCAGTGTTTGGCACTCGCATTTGAATGCATTCGTCGAGTGGAGGGGAGGCAAAGGCAGCTAGGTTTAGGTCTACCCACTAATCTGAAGACTCTTCCTCAGTTACTTGGCGCACTGGGGCTTGAAATGACGTGGTAAAGATCCGGGCCTACCGACGACACCAAGATAAACCAAAAAAGCGAGCGAGCAAAATTAAAAGAATTTTTTGGAGAAACACTTGCTACCACTCCAAAGCACAAACACGCTCTTACCTCACAGTTGCCTTTTTGAAAGCATGCATCTTGCTTTCAGCCTGTAGTTCGTAAAGCGCAGAGCACATGTCAATTGCTGTTTAGATGTTTCGGGTTCTGCAGACAGGATTGATGAAAACCACATTGTCTTTTTGTTCTCTACTTGTGGGTGGGCATTGGAATTCTTTACGGTGGAGGTGATGCCGTGTGAGGAGAGATGCTGGTAGTGCCTCCCAATAGCTTCAGACTGGAAACTAATTTACACCATTTTTGTTCTTATGTGGCATTCCACTAGTGGATTTGGAGCGATTCCGAAAGCGCTTCGTATTCGCACCTCTATTGTAGTAGACGCGAGTTTGCGCTTGCAACGAAAAAGCGCTCCAAAACCTGTCCAAATCCGCGGAGGGAATTCCCTAGTAAATTACAGATTTGGCGCTTTTTTGTTTTTGTTTTTGTCGAAAATTTTTTGTCTTACAACGGTCATAGAGTATTGTGAGATAAAATTCAACAAGGTGGGGCCTAGTGTCGTTTCATGGTTTTCTTAAAGATCTACAGAAGCTGAAGGTGAAAGTTGTATGGTAAGGAAAAATACCTGAATTAAAAGTTGCCCTTTTCTTCTTGCTCTCACTCAGGTATGTCAGCATTTGTGTTTGGTTCACAAGCTGTACCTTGATTTCTGAGGATATAGGGTAGTACCATCCTGGTCAGAGGGGTATGCAGACTTTGTTACTGATTGTTTTTTTCATTTGATTGATGGCTGTAAGGCAACAACACATCTAGGTATTCATCTCTTTGTGTGCACGCAAATCAAGTAAACGGTTCTCTTTCTGGTTCCCAGTAAAGTCACCAATCACTGACTTGCCCACGTTAACGATAGTTATAAGCCAGCCTTCAAACTTGTTGAGGACCGAAGGGTAGCTTTCAATGTCTCGCCCAAATGCGCGAGCCATTGTGAAGCAAAATTTTTTTTTTTTCCTAAGTAATGTGCTTTTGTTTGTATAACCTCTCGTAGTGGTGTCCAATATTCCATACTTTTTTTTTCTAGCTCATAAAACATAGTAGTATGTAGGGCCTAGCTGCTACTACTATGTGTTGATATTTGAAGTTGCTTCTGTAATCTAAAACACGGTTGTATTTCTTTGTATTGTATGTTCTCTTCGAGGGTGATCACAACAATGTGTGAAGGTAGCTGAAGTTGGTAAAAAAAATATCTCTTAAAGAAATCTCCCATTGGATAGCCTCAGAAGGTTGGCCTATAAGCCTGGATAAAAAAATGCTTCAAAACGTTATATGAACAAAGTCAATGTTATATATTTTTGTCTGTTTGGTGTCAAGCACAAGAGAGAGCTCGTTTTTTTTTTCTTGGAGGGGAGCCACGTTTTATGCCTTGGGACGACTTTTTGTGGCAATTTAGAAGTGAAGAGTGCATATGCATACTACATCGATTGGCACTCATATGTAGATAGTGCGGTACGGTACAGCATCTGGGAGATTAGGAAAGAAATGTTTCGCGCTTGCTCGACTTGAGTTGCACCATTTGTTGTGTCGTATTTATACGAAGGCTAACAGAATCAAGAAGCAGCAAAGGGTCTCTTTCCCACAGGAGGGGAAAGCAGCCTCTTCGCAACTGTGTGCTCTCATTAGCTACAAAGAGGTAAAAGCAATTTTGAGGAAGGTGAATGCAAATGTAATTTATGCAAGATATACTAGTATTGCAGGAAGCACAAAAACACATTGCTCCTCAATTCGAGCTGCATTGCATTTTTGCGAGATGTCTGAGCGGCGGCGTTTTAGCCCTTGCATTGTGTGCGCATGCAATTTTTCGTGGTAGGACCTCTTTCATAGACAATCGAAGGTCTCTTTTCACGCGTGATGCACCTTTTCAATATAGATTTTAGGGGCATTTCAAAACATCCGTGGCAGTTTTAATATATTCGTGACATGGCTTTTCGAAGAACTCTCGGGACTTTGCGAGTGGGAACCGAGAATAAGAAATTCCTTAGAGGCCAGAAGTCGTATTTGGGCATTGATATTTTATGGATACATTTTTATACTTTTGCCTCTTTTTATTTCTCAGGCCAAAGAAGGAGGATAAAGAGAAGGGTAAGTAGAGCTGCCAAGTGTTGTTCTTTTGAGTTTGTGTTTGGCATATTACTTTCCTTCCTTGTTACGAACAAGGTGTCGGAGCATAACTTTTTTCTGTTTTCATTTGGGAGTGAGTTGAACAAACCTCAGAGTGAATTTGAATTCATATTTAAATGTGGAAATACTTTTTGGGCATACGATCTAAATAACGAGCAACAGCGTCGGGAGCCAACGCTACAAACACGTCGACCACGGAATCTTTTGGTTTTGGCGGTAGCCGGCAGAAACACGTAACATAAATTTAAGGCATTGGATTGAGAGCTCGACGATGCCAAACGAGCAAATGCGGGTCTGCAGCTTCGACAATGGCCTCGGTCGCACGGGCGTCCGCAGACCCACCGCCTCGATCGCATGCCCTGCCACTGACCGCTCCGCGAGAACATGAGGCGCCAAACATTTGGATCTGGGAAGCGCTTACATACATTCAATGACGGACGAGGAATTCTTCCTCCCTTTCGTGAGCCTCGCAATAAAGCAGGTGCAGAAGCCTGCAGTCTTCGGTAGCGGTAACATGCACATGTTACCGCTAATTGGATGAGAGTGGGAGGGAAGAGCTTCAATCGTCTCGACTCCACTGTGAACTTGTCGTTTCGGGGACCCCTTCCGGACCAGCGGAAGTGACGGGAAATCCTTGACCGCTTGGTGGGAGGGGGGCGTGGCGTGGCGTGTCGGACGATTACAACGGCGTAAGGGTAGAAGCAGAAGTCTGAATGCGTGCGAGCCAACTTTGAAGCCCTAAGACGGACAACAATTGACCCCACTCGCTCGGTGCACACGGTTTGGTGCATCTATCTTTGTGGGACAGCTGGCATCTATAAAGAAGTTTTATTCCTTAGCTCGAAGAATGGCCGAGGGCTTTGGGGAGCCTAAGAAGGCCTCCGGGGACCTTGAAAGGGTCCACGGACCCTCATTTGAAAACCGACGCCATGTAGTGTATAACTCTGTTGTGCATCAGTGCGCAGCCTAAAAGAGTGGCTAAGGGGAGACCCTGGTCTTGAACATTTTTTTGTCATTTCCGATCCAATTTAAAATAAATTTTCGCGTCCATTTTAAGTTTCTGTGCCAAGCAGAAACATAAGGTAACTTTTTCCTATCTGTCATAAGCCACAGGTACATGAATGTGACAGTATCGCATCGAATAGAGATGTGACATTTGTGATTAAATAAAAGAGAAAGACTGGGCACGTGTGATTGGTCCTCTCTCAATTCAGTGTGCTACTGTCGCATCCGTGTAAACGCATCCATAGCTATCAAGAAAACCTTAACTTAGTCAGAAATTTTTCTGCCAAACCTTTTACAATATCCCTATAAAAAAAAGTATGGTACAAAGTATATCAGCATGTGTTCTACAAAGAGTAGTGTGTACAACAAGGCCATTGCTATGATTCTAGCATCATTCTAGAACAAGTTATTGCAAGTTGAAATCTTTTTACAGATAGTAGAGTAGAGTTACTGAAGTCCTTGACAATTAGAAAATTTTGTAGTTGACATTTTTCAGATATAGTAGTCTTGTTGCATTCTTTGATTTTTGAGCCATTAAACCCTGAAAAAGTATTCAGGTCCAAGTTCTAGATCCATGATACTGTGGGTGATACTGTGTTTTTTCATCATGTTGTGATGAAAAAATTAATTCTGAGAAAGCAGGAAAAGCTTTTCAAAACATGCTTACAAACAGCCTTGACATGAAACTTTGAATCATTGTAACTACCATAATATCCCGAGTCATCGCCCGCCCCCCTGCTGCCTGAAATTCATAAGAAAAGAAAAGTGGGGAGGCCACGTCTCAGGGGGTAAAATCGAAATGTTTAAATAAAGCTAAAAAGACATCAATCTTTCTGTATATATCTAGTTTAACTGCACAAGAGATACGTTAAAACTCGAAATAGTTTCATTGTTTTATCCAAGAAATGCTCATGAAAGTATGTTTGACTAACTCAAAGTTCGTTGCTTGTATACGTGTGATGAACACTGCCCATCTGCATACTGCATGAATGTTGTGTTCCGTGAAAGCATGTTTCTAACAACGCTATGTTATCTTTGTTAGTAAAAAAAAAAGTCATCAAGAAAATAAAAAAAGCAACTAGGTGCAATGAGCGAGCGAGCGGCCGAAAGAAGCGACGAAGAGCGATGCTGGGAGCAGGAAAGCCGGCGATCGCGTTGTCAAATACTTTTGGGATCGGGCCAAGTTGGGCGCCTTGTCATTAACAAGGAGCAGGCTCTTGTGCAACTTTCTTGTTTGGGGCATACATGCGTGCGTTCGTGCGCGGCGTGCCATCGATGCGAGTTTTAAACTCGCTCCCCTGCCCCTCCCTAGGCAACTCGTGTAAAAAACGCGAAGTAATGCTGACTTGTCGCGCCATTTACGGAGAGTTCACGCTAACACACAGAATATGTAGGGTAATTTTCAGGCAAGTGGAGCGCATGTTTCTTCACCCGCTTCGTCTCGGCGGCTCGGCCATGGCGCGTTGGCATTGCGCGGTTGTGCTCTCCCTTTGACGGATGAAACAGTTTACAAAAATTAAATCAATTCTGACTGATGAAAATGATAACAATGAAGCAGCTTATCTAAGGGGCTTGTTTATGCGTGATGTCATAAGCGCAGTTGTTGAGCAGGCGAACCTTTTCCTGCGCCAAGTACTTGCTGCGGTCACGTGAGTGATCCACTCCCGTGTACGCACGTGTACTGCACGTGAATTATACATATTTCTGCTCTCATGATACTGATGGCGCATGCAAGGAAGGACGCCATTGCCGAGTTACTAGAGTGAAATGTCTGCAAAACCAATACGCCAATGAAACCTGGAAGGGGCTGAGGACCAGTAAGGGAACAGTTCAGTAGTGAAAGGGTTAATAGGGAGTTTTAGAATAGTGCACGCTAAAGCTTTGCGTACGCAAAGAATAGCGTCGTCGCCACTGTGCATGCTCCGAACGCAAACCATGTTTCGCACTTTGCTTGCGCAATTTTAGCGTGTGCTATTTCTCGGAAATAGCGTGCATACGCAAAGGGTCTTTGCGCTCCTCTATGGAGGATTCGTGATGAGAAGTTGGCTAAAGCCAAGACGAGTACAGTTTTAAAAAAAATGGCGGCCCCCAGGACGGGATCATGGCTGAGCGCGACCTCGGCGGCATCCTCGCGACTGCGATTTTCAATACGGGATGACGTTGTTGCCGTCAGTTTGGAAAACCCAGTAGGGTGGACAGCGATCACCGGCAACTTGATGCTTGCGATGAGCGAACATTTATCGGCGAAGGTCAGTACACTCAGAGTACACTCTTGCCGAGGCGACGCATGCGGCGGACACGACCGGTCGACCGCTCGCGTCTCACTCTCACGTTTAAACAAGTGTAAAATTGTTACTCCGGACCAAAAATCTTGTTTTTTCTCAAGTTGCAGCATTTCGTGTGTTAAATAAAAATTGTGACTGTATCTTGGTGGCGTTGCAAGCACGCGATGCTTGGGCTTTTGCGTCACGGCGGACAAACGTTATTATAAAACTCTCTTGCATCGCGTGCGCTAAAGCAAGCGCTAAATTTAGCGCTAGCGTGCACTAAATTTGCGTGCGTTATTCTAAAACTTCCTAATGTCCAGTTTGTTAACTCTTTCGTTGCCACGAGAAAATAACAATTTCTTATAAACCTCAGAAAAAAAAAAAAAAAATTTTATCACCTCAAATATTGTTTTAGTACATATTGCAGCAGAGCAAACTGTAGACGACTAAATTCTGTTTAAGAAAAGTAAGTTGCAAAGCAAAAATTTTTATTAAAAAATACAAATTTTTTTTAAAAAGGTGCTATTTCATGGTTAGTTTAATAAAAAAAAAAAAGAAACAATAGAAAAGTGTGGTATGTAGAAAAACATTCACATAAAAAGGAATTTATACATTTCGAAGATAAATAAACCAAGCACATTTTCTGCGGAAAAAAAAAAAAAAAGCTGATGACAGCTGTTCTTCAGATACAAAAAAGAAAAACTTAGTCATTGTGGTGTTTGTGCCATGCAATGAAACAGTTCCTGGTTTTTGTTAGGCAGAACTGTACCTTTGGCTTTTGGCACACAACGTCCGTTTTTTGCTCGACCTTGTGGTCGCCATAGCACATTTTTCAGTTTCGCTTTTTGGGCATCTTTGGGAAGTGGTGCTGCAGTTGTTTTGGTACAGGGTCAACTGGAAGAATGTCTTCAGTGTGCATGAGCTCCAGAGTGTGCATCTGCACATATTTGGTGGTGTTGTCACAGATAGTCCTTATTACGTCCACGGTGAAGAGAAGAAAGAACTCCCGGGCAATTGTAAACTGTCTCGCGCCGCTCTGTAGCGCTGCTCCGAGATGTGCTCCAAGCGACCCTCTTGAAACAAACTGAAGTTTTTTCTTTGCGGGTGGCAGGACGTCTTGGCCAAGCGAAGACGTCCTGCCATCCGCGAGGAGACCGCCCAAAGTCCTAAAACTCAACGCGGAATGGCTTCAGACGTCCTGGGCCGGCTCGAAACATTGTCGCTGTGAGAGCTTGAATCTGATGAAGTGCTGTCACCTTCGGACTCTTAGCTCGAGCCCTCATCACGAGTGTCAGGTGCAGGCTCACTATAATTCCGAGCGGGACGCTTTTTTGGTGGTGCAGTGGCACGTGGCGACGACGGCGTGGAAACTGTGCTCACTGCACAGTAAATGTGATCAGCACCCTTGCCAAGATTTTACTGGAGACACGAAACCGAAACTTTTATAAATCCCCTCATGGCCAGTCCCACATGAAGGACATGGCGGCGGACCTTTAGAAATGTGCTGTGGGGGATAAAAGCTCTCGGACTCGAAATCAAAGCTTACCATTGAATGGCTGGCATCTTTTTTGGCCAATTATCACCGCTCAACTCTGTTAGATCGAAAATCCGACGACGTAATTTCATCTCGTGTCTTACATAGAGTTTTTTTATCACAAAAAGTTCAGGTTTGTGTGGCATAATCACGAGCGGCAGGCTTTATTTTGTACGCAGTGGAGGGTGATGGCCACGCACCTTTTTGCCACAACACACACACTTCAGTCCGCGAACATTTTTTTATCAAAAAGCACAACTTAGCTAGAGCAACGAAATCAAAACTGATTCTAAAAGCCCATTTCCTGGGCTAACCACTGGGTGGTGTTAGGTGCCTGAGAACAAACTTTAACACATTGAAATTGACAATTGAAATCACAGATCACTGGTGATCGATCTGAATAGGCAGAACGAAAGAGTTAAGGCTGCCATAGCATTGCTCGTTTTGATAATTAGTCTGCAAAATTTTGTTATGTGCGAAAGAAGCTGCAAATAGTGCTAGCGATTGGGGATAAGTTCAATGAAACTAGCTGAAATTTTAGGCTCTTAACTTAAGGGAAAACATAAGCTTGAGTTTCAAAATTTTTTTAAAAAATTCATTTTTCAATTTTGAGGTTTTCGGTTTTAGAGTCTAATATACACCCTCACACTAAATTTCATAACCATGCGCTAAATAGTTACGTTGATATAAAATATTTTCAACACATTGTAAGGCAGTAACAAAGTAAAAGAGTTCAATGTTTGAATGCATTTTTCTCAGTTCCACTTTTTGCTGCAAATTTCATATGAAGGAATCTTTTGTTTGAAGGTAAAATTATTCTAAAACCACAATCAAGATGTTTCTGAACTGAAATTTACTGGGGAATCGGGCTATCTACTTTATTTTGTTTTACATTAAAATTCTCATTGAGAAAAAACTATGTATTCAAAAATTGACATAGGACAGATATGCATCTCAAATTTTGAGGTAATCACTCTTCCTGAAATATTTACATTTGAGTTATTAAAACTAGATAGCCCGAAGTCCCACATCCGCCACTTTTTATTCAAGCAGTTAAAATGGTGCTTAATAGCTTCATTTGCATATCATAGATTTCTTGACGAAGAGTGACATGTTTTCTTATGCAGGTATGTAAAGTTATCCTAGAGAGCTGAAAGTTTGCACAGTACACCTATATCTGAAGTTAAATCTCCCCTGCAAATTTTATTCCGATCACTTGAGTAGTTCAGAAGTTCAACCTCTAGCCAGTGTCCCTCCTAAGACTAAAGAAAGGCATTTTATATTGTCACTCTACAACGTATTAACGTACCGTAAAATTTCCGAGCATCAAACTGCGTCCCAATAAGTGACCATCCGCTACTTCAAACTGCGTCCCAATAAGTGACCATCCGCTACTTCCGATATGTTTAAAAATTAAGCAAAGGACATATCGAGCATACACTTAGCTAACCGAGATGCTTCTCCTTGCCAGCCTCTTCTCCGAACTCGCCGGTGCAGTTTGATGTTAGAAGTTTGATGCGCACATGCAACTGCTAAGTGGTGAAACCTGCTTTGCCTTGTGCCCCTTCTGCACGTTTGCTCTTGGACCTAACAATCGCCCATACCCCAATTTGTCGAGAATATCTCAGATTTTTTGGTGGGCATTTTCCCGGTGTTTGACATTACATTCGGCGTGCTTTCCTCGAGATCTCAACTTCAAAATGCTTCGGAGAAAGAGGGTGGAGTGTTTCTTATTTTCGAGGTGTGTTTTTGCACGACAGTTGTTTTGAGAAGTTTCTTCGAGCTCGAATGTTCAAGCTTTAGTTTGTTCTACAAGTCTGGTTTATCCACAAGGACCTTGTTTGAAAAGAAATATGTGCCGTTGCACACAGATTTTGTATGTGGCTAAACGGAGTATCCACCTAACTATGCTCTCGAAGGTGCCGAATGTGGGATACCGAATACTGTGAACTCGAACACAGTTACGCTTTACCCGAGCCATCTGTTGTAATGAAAGTCGAAGCTATCTACATCTACAAACTTTAAGGAGGAGATCTTTGCCCTCTCTTTCAAGTTTCAGTCCACTGCGGAACTTCCTCTTAAGGGGGGACATGGCCTGGAAGGGTCAACTTTTGAACCGTTCCCTTAAATTGATTCAAAATTTCAGGATGAATTGAACCCCATTAGGATTGATGACATCTAAAGTTTCAGTCTTGTAGGCCAATTCTACTACACACAGTGCTTAAAAAGCTCCAGAAAAAAGTGACTTCAGGAGGAAATGTATTTAAAAAATATAATAATTGCAATCCACAAAACGTTTGTTTTAATGTGAGATAGAATACCCATAGTGCAAGTTAAGGCAAAAATTAATTGTCGTCCGTTTCGTCCTCTTGTGTGTTTCTTTCGTTTTAAGGGAACAGGGTAGGCCCTATTCCTCCCATGTGTTTCAGCCTATGTATGTGACCCTTTTTCTCAGGATCTGCTAGGGTTAGAGGATTCATGTTGGTATCATTGTATTTAGCTTTCTGTGTTCTCTTTACTGAACTAGATGTATTGTTATACATATTTTAGTTCTTTTTTGCTTTTGTTTTTACTGGACCCTCCTAATTTTAATGCCAAAATAGACAATAAACAGCTTGTCAAACAAAATTGCCTCGATTAATTTCCATAATTTTAGTTCAGTAGACTCCCCCTTGTGTTGTCTTGTTAGCGGAAAAAAATAATACTTCTAGTTTTTATGGTTTCAGAGAAAAAGGGTCAAACGTTGCAAAAAAATGATGTTTTGAGATAATCGACTTTGAAGTGAAAAAAGGCGCTTTATAATAAACTTGCACTCTAGAAATGCATGCTGATGTATCCGTTCGGTAGCCACCAGCCAGGCTGTCACCTCCATAGTCAATATTTAGTTTCGTTGTTTGCTGTCTTGCTTTGTGGGCCTCTTTCGTGATGAGCTGTGTAGCCCTGTCTGCCAAGTAAAGTCTTCGCCAGTCAACGCCGCGCAACCACTGCACCATCAATCATCCTGGTAAAACGCCAAGTAAAGGCTCGAAGTTGTCCGTTTTGACGTCTCTCTAATCAGTGTGTCCAACAGCACTTTTCACAGTTCAGAAAGTAGGTGCAGGCGACGCCAGCTCTTAGTGCTGCTTTTTCAACCAGCTGCAAGTCCCGACCGCACACTTTGCACACCCAGCTTTCGGCGACGGTACAGGACAGAAGGTCGATGTCGATCAGTGCACAGTTGCAGTCACTAACACTTGCCTTGAGCTCCTCAAAGCATGCTGCCGAGTGCGACAGCTTCGAAGAAGACGCACACGTGGTAGCCGCTGCGTCAGGCATCAGAATGCGTTGCGGGGACTCGGCGGCATAAGAAATTGACCTATGCCGACTACTCTGGAAGCGACGCTTCTAAAATATCTTTCGTATTTCGTCATTTTTAACATTCCAAATCTAGTGTTAAAGTAAACAATAAATTACCTTGCCCGTGGAAGCATGCCGAACCAGAAGCAAAAGTATGCACGTCGCGACTGATGCCGGTAGTGTCCGAGGATTTATGGGGCTAAAAATGTAAAAGCGAGACAGCTTTTTGATGTTGCTGGACGAGCAATAAACATTCCGCTAAACCTTGTAAAAATCTTTTTTTTTTTTTTTTTTTTACGGTTTTTTTTACAACATAGAGATACAGATCGTGCATAGGTGTAAAAGGGGGCGTGGTCGGTCACCACCTAGGTTTCGGAAAAGGTCATTTTTCGTGTAGATAAATCGCCCACGCTCAAATTACACAGTCAGCATTGTTCAGGAAAGACTGGGGAATCCAAATCCCTAAAAAACAAAAACTCAATTTTTTTCAAAATTTTGCCCTACCCTGTTCCCTTAAGTCAATGTAGAAAATGCAATTCTAAAGGAGAACAATAACACCCAAAAAGTGCGAAAGAATTTAACAAATTTTTTGTGTTTTAAAATATTAAATTTTTGTTTTGAAGAAGTTAGCTTTTTCAGAATATGAGTACCTTAACTTGTTCCTCAGGAAACTTTAGTCCAGGACACCACTGAATGAAATCTTTACACTTTCAAAATGTCCAATGATATATTTCCTCATACCACATTTCCTGCCAAAAAGTGGAACTGAGAAAAAGTCATTTGAAGTTTCAACTTTAGGTTTCTTTCTTTTGCATGAGCCCAAGGTAGGCAAAATTCACCTGGGGCATTGTTAGCACCTTCCTCTTTGAGACTTTGTTGTTCCCCTGGCGATAGCTAACAGTTTGTGTCATTTGTAGGCAAGCTAACTTTTGTAGCAGGCATTCCTTGACGGATAAACTGGCAAGAATGAAGAAGCAAATCATACTAAGGAAGAGGAGCAAAGCATGAATATGATCTGAAGTGGAAGATACTGTGAAAGGGTGTTACTGAAGATGACACAATATCACATCACTGGGCAGGACCAATCGTAAACCCTGTTTCAGGTCTCAACCAATAAGATTGCTCACACCAAATTTTCAGGATTTTTTCTGTTTGGATGTGAAGGGTTTTCCTGGCCATTGATACTTTTAAACTTTGAAAGTCTCTATGGGCTAAATCTAGAGTAAATGGCGCTTCCAATGAGGGTGAGATGTTCTGGCTCTGTTAAATGAGTATGAAGCAACACTAAATAAAAAAAAAAACTTGCTCCCTGCTGACTTTGAGGGCTGCTGACATGTCGAAAAAAATTTATTGTGAGATAAATCCTGCATGTATAAAAATGAAATTTTCTGAAACCATTCTTTGGAAGTTAATAAACATAAAAATATACTTTTTGAAAAAAAAAAAATTTTTTTCTGAAAATTTTGAATTCCGAGGCCATGTCCCCCCTTAAATGCCCGTGGAAGGCTCGAAATTGACGAGGCCTAAGCCTCGGCCCTTCCGGACTGCAAGTTAGGGTTCTTTACACATTGTCCGGAAAATGTACAACTTTGTGTGGCTATACCTTAGATTGGCCGACCTCGGAAGTCACATTGGCTGACCTCAGCAAGTAAACTAAACCAGTCCAGCAGAACACAGATACGGGCCTTTTTTAATCCAGTGTACCGTTTGAAGTTTGTGAACACGAAATCGCCACAGACGCACCAGCCCAAGCACGGGCTGCAACGCTCACTCGCGACAGTCGGACCTCAGCTGACGTTCTTGAGTTCCCAGCCTCTCGGCTCTTTTGTGGCGACCGGCGCGTAGGTCTTGCGCTTGCGGAGGTGGATAAAGATGCAGAAGGCGACGCCGGCGACAGTCAGCGCACTTACCACGAAAATGTGCGCCACATAAGTCGGCGCAACATAGACCACAAGCACCACGGTCGCCCCGACCTTTCCCGGGTCGCAGCAGCCGGTCGGGAGGTCGGGAGAGCACGTGTAATTCGCCGTACCCTCGCCGTTCGCCTGCCCGAAGAGCGCCCTCGCCCTCCCCGTTCCTCCCGTCTGCTTTTCCGAGAGTCCGGCCTCAGGCGTGACGTCCCACCTTAGCTTGAACCAGTGGGAGTCGTTGCCGCCGGCTCGCGTCTGCGAGCAGACAAACTCGAAGTTGGAACCCTCGGCCGCCTTGAGCGTCGTCGGCGTGGCGACTATGCCTGCTTCGTAGATCTCCTCGCAGAGCCTCTCGCTGCATCCAGACGCGAGCACGTCCCGCGCTGGAGTGCTGTGCGCCGGAGTGCCGTGTGCCGGAGTGCTGTGCGCCGGAGTGCTGTGCGCCGGAGTACTGTGCGCCGGAGTGCTGTGCGCCGGAGTACTGTGCACCGGAGTGCTGTGCACCGGAGTGCTGTGCACCGGAGTGCTGTGCGCTGGAGTGCTGTGCACTGGCGTGCTGTGCTCCGGAGTGCTTGCTGTAATGGTGACGACGGTGGGGGTCGGGCTCGCGGACGTGGGCGAGGTGTCGTGTTCCTCGGGCTCTGGCATGTCTCCGGAGCCTTCCAGAAATTCCGTGGTACGAGACGAGGACGGTTCGGTTGCGCGAGACGCCGGCAGACCTGCGGCCACAAGGATCAAACTGGAATCCTTCATGTCTTCCTCGTCTTCCGTCGTCATGAGGCTAGTTTCGTCCGTAATATGAGCCCCTCCTTTGTTTGTGGTTGCATCCTCGGGCGGCGGGCGACTTTCTTCGTTGACAACGTGGCTGGTAGTCTCCGGTTCTGCCGACCTGGGAGGAACAGTATGCGAGTCGTTTTCGGTGGTAGCTTGTTTCTCTGGGAACAGCGTCGCTTGTTCCGGTGTGACAAGCGGCGGGATGTCGTAGGGCGCTGCCGGCAGCACTTCAAACGCGCCCTCACTTTCGCCGCCATTCACGTCGTCATGATTGCTGTCGTGGCTGCCTCCATCGTGGTGATTGTCCACATCGGCATTCAAAGTCGGGGCCACGAGAAAGGTCAGAGCACAGACAAAGGCGGCAAGAGACCCGAAGTGTGCCATAGCGCACGCTTCTTTGCCGTTCGCGCCCAGAGACGAGCGGCGTCCCGATAAGCGACGTCAACCGAAGTAGCACGGCCTTGCTGCTACACTATGTCTGAGAGATCCGCTACACCTTGCACTTCTGGATGTGCCGCCAGAGCCACTGGATGTGTCACCAGAGCCGATTGAATTGGGGGGTGGGGTTAACAGGTTGTCGGCAGTTTGTTTACGGCGAATTCGGAGGCACCCAGACAGGGGCTTGGCGATGACCTTTTTCCCGGCTTTTTCTCTCGCTCGCTTCCTCTCACCTTTGCTCCTCTCATACCTTTACTCCTACAGCCATTTTTCTTCTTTTTTTGTGCGTGTGATAAGAGACGTGTGAAGAGCTGCTGATAAAATGCTTGCGCGCGCTGTCACTAAGTTGCCGGTTATCTCTTTCGGAGCTGAAAATATTTTCTGCCTTCTTTGGGCTCTTTGCCCTGCATTCAAAACAACCCTAAAGATGAGTTTGTTCGAAATGGCTCACTGTGATACATAAATCTAATTACAATTTCTTTGACTCGGTTTAAAGTAAGCTACTGCTAAGCGTGGTTTAGGAGAGTACACTGTAGTTGCAGTGTCCTTTTGCTGTTTGCTTCCTAAAGCAAAATATAATTTCTTGTTTTAATTTTTTAATTGCAATGTGTCTAAAAGAAAGAAAAATTAAGATGTAAAACATTGAAAATAGTATGATACTTGCTTCGTAAAAGCTCATTTACACAGGTACATTTGCTCACATTTTCTTACATATGTCATAAATCACCGGAACATCCATGTTTTGTATGTGCATGCAATGCTTCACTTTGAACTGGTTGCCACACTTCTTACTTGGCATGGATGTCTCAGTGATTTGAAGCGTAAGCAGACATAGCTTCCTATAACAAAATTTTATATAAGCAAATGGTACTGTGTGAACCAACCTTTTAAGAGTCAAATGAAGCTTGACTACTGTGTATACAAATCAAAGCTTTCCTCTTGTTTTTAGACTCCTATCTGCATTGGCTGCAAATTTTCTAGGATACAAATAATCCGACATTGCTGCCTTTGAGGCAAGGGAATAGGGTCAATGACGAAATAGTAACACGCATAGGGCAAGTGCCAAGTTCTACATCACGTGGTGCGCCCAAAAAACGACCTTAAAGACAAGCTTGTGTCCGGCAGAGAAGCATGGGAAACTAGACCCGCGACAGGCTGCCATTAGCCGCAGATTGAGGAGCCATCTGGTGGTGCTGCTTGCAACTGAAGCAAGGAGAGGCCTTCTGGCAGCTGCGACGTGCGCAGTGTTTACACCTGGATATAGTATTTGCTCGAGCAAAAGCCGCAGTTCTTTTGAACAAGGCCCTTGCATCTACTTTCCTGCAGAACACTCATACAGCCAATCATCGCGCTCTGCATAAACACTGCAGTGAATAACAAAGTCGAAAACATGACATTCCGTAAAAATGCAATCTGAGCAGATAGCACTTTCACTTGAAGACGTTATCTCTGTCTCATAAATCACTACCATTTTTCTGTCCATCGCAGTGATTCGCTATCCCCGTGCTCCGCAGGAAAGCGTACCGACAGGCTTTGTTCATAAACAGCCTGGCTCTTACTCGAGCCAATACGTTATATCTAGGGCTCCGTGTTTTCGGAGTTTATTTTTCGTCAAATTTGGAGGGTGTTTTTCGGAGTCTATTTTTTGCCGAAGATTCGGAGTTTATCGGAGTTTATATTTGGTTGATTCCCAATTCTCCGAAATGCGGAGTTTAATTTCGCAGTGTTTCCTATTCAAAATAAATAAATAAATAATAACCGAATGTAAACGTATGCCAGATAAAAAAGAAAACGCGCTTGTATCAATTGAAATATTTCCACCTGAATTTGGCGTTGGTGCCATTGCCATTGGCAATACTAATTTATCCACGGCAAAAGTCGCACACAAGTGGCGCTTCGATAAACGTCGATACCCTAAAATCAATAAACTCCCGGAAGTAGTCGCTAGGAAGCTCGTAGTCATCCCATCCTATTCCATCAATCTACCCCGCGGCCGCGCGAGGTAGAGTGGTTAAGGTGGTAATAGAGAGTTTGAACTGTCCCTCCATAGCTTTCACTGTTACTAAAGCATACCCTTTCCTTTCTCTAAGCCACAAATCGCATGGCACAAACTGGAAACCAAAGGATTGGCTTTTGTCGTGACCCGAATGTACAACGAACGACCTGTTGCCCTGAATCAACCTTGAAGGGACAAGCGGCAAGACCCCTTTTGACAACGGTCTGAGATTTGAAAGATAATTATGGTGGAATTTTCCCAGGACCATTGACTCCGCGCTGATCAAACTGTAAAAAAATAGAAAAAAAAACGAAAAAAAAAAAAAAAAAAAACATTGACATATAAATATTTGGAGTTTATCGGATAAATCCGAATTGACCAAAATTTTACCGGCGGGTGTTTTTCGGAGTTTTTTTTTATTTATCCGAAAACACGGAGCCCTAGTTATATCTTACATTGTGGTCATACTTAAGCTCACGAACCAGAAATGAATATGTGCAACTTCTGTTGCCTTTAATCAGTCTTGAACACCAGCTTGCAACAAAGATGAAGAATGTTGCTACAACCTGAAAGTGCCAACTTCTAAACCGCTCACTCAGTCAGCGTGAAATTTGCAGGTGGTGTTTGTAGCCATATAGAAGGAAGGCGTGCGAAGTTTCAGCCCTGTGAACCAATATAAGGAGATGCTAAACCACCAACATGAAGTAAAGCGTAGCTTGGTGTGGAATCTGCCCAATGAATCTAGTGTTGAGAAATGGTGTTGATAACCACATAGTTTTCTGGTGGGATGCATACTGGAATTCCTGTGGCCAGTTGCTAAAAAAAATACATCCACAAATTGGGCATTTTTAAGCTAAAAAAATTGAAGACAAAAGCAATTTTTTTTTTATTTTTTATATTTACTAAGTTTTGCAACAATATTTTTTTATAGTAAAAAGTTGAAGATAGCCTGCTCCATAAAATTTCGGTATGTAAGCTGCAAATAGGTCATAGCTGCTTACTGAAACGATAGATTTATTAAAGAGACCATGAAATGACCTTTTTACTTTTGCCAGATAATTTTTACATTAAACCTTCACTGAATGCCTAACAGGCATCCATTTTCGTCTCGGTTTATTAACTTCTACACAAAAAATTAATGAAATGTCGACTTTTTCTTTCTCTCCAACTGACCGCAAAACAAGTTGTGGCGTAATTTTGACAGTCGTGTTGTACTCTGGCACAGGAACCGGAAGTTCTGTTGGCAGTAGGAGAATGGGAGCGTTAGCGGCGGCGAGTTGGGGGTGTGCCAGTAGGTTTTACTGCGCTGATGGCACCGACATATTTTCTGAATCGGTGCCTCTCATTGCCTTGATAGCCATGGACACATCGCAGCTGCGCGAAATTCAATTAGATATGTTGCACTACAGTGACAGCATGGGACTAGTCCCATACGCCGGTATGCTGTTGGGAAATGCAGCGAGTCTTCATCGGAATTGGACGATGAGGAGTGGGGCGGCTTCAAAGTATGGAACGATAGGTTACGTTTCGGCCCGTATATTCAGATGTATGGAAGTAACGGAGATATCAAATGTTTTGTTTCTTTGAAGGTGCACTTGCAAGCGGTGCATAGTAGTGCCTACCGCTCGAAAGTGCTTCTGCTGCCGGGAGTGCGCCGCCGCCATCTCAATTCAAAACAACGGCCGCATTCGCGGAGAGCACTGTGAATGTGGCTGTAATCACGCTCGGTGTTAAAATGTTCCGAGCATACACGAATGACCGTAGACCCGGGGTCCCTCGAACCAATGAGCCTGCACCAAGTGCTTCGACGTGGTTCATCGAGTGGCAATCGGTGAAACTTCAACTGTTTCTTTTTAACCACCGGACTGCACAAACTGTGATTTGGGCACTTTGGTACGCTGCAGCCTTTCGGCATAGTGACCGAGTGATCTATCACAAACACTGTAAACACTACTCGAACAGCCAGAAAACGAAAGTCTGCTGTGAAGAAAATGCGACCAGGAGCAAACCCGTGCAGCAGACAACGCTCGTCGGTTGACTGCGCAAGCGTAGTAGGGTCCCTCTCTTGCTTCGTTTACCACACGATAGATGCGAAGCGGTGCTTGGCTCTCAGCATTATCAAATTTGTCAATTTTCGTCACATCTCTAATTATGCTACAAAATGTGTATCTGAATATTATTTAACAAAACTTTTAGGAAATATTCGCCGGCTATTTATTGTTTATGATCGCAGTGCTGGTGAGGTAGGCGATGTGGATTCGGATGATGTGCTGCGGTTCCGCGGATGCATCGCTGTGAAAAGGCAGAGAGCTTTCGAAGGAAAGAAGGAGCAAAAGAGTTAAGTTTGCTTTTAAAAGTTATATAACGAAGAATTTTTTTTGGCTCCCTATTTTTGTGTTTTTGTGTTTCTTTTCACACCTTTGACGACGATCAGTGGATAAAATTTGACTTCAGAATTGTTTCATGTTTCCTTTAAGTGAAAGTGATGCCAAAAGGTGGAACGGAGAAAAACGAGTTCAAAGTGCTTGTATGCATACCTTTTCTTTAGCATCGGTGGACTGAAAATAATTTATAAAAAAATAACTATGCAGTGTAAACGAACGAAACTTCCTGGGAATACTCTCTAGATGTTGGCAGATGTAAATACGGCATTTTTCAAAATCAACTTTATTTGCGCAAGTTTCTTTTTTTCTTCTGGGTGGTGTCCCTCTCTTAACCGTTCATGGAAGCCAAAAATTTTCACAAGCAATGGAAGGCCTGCAAGTCTTCATTCTCAAGATTTTTCCAAAATCCTGATTTTAGGGTTGGGGCGGTACTTTATTGACTCTTGCAATCTTGCCTTGTTTTAGGGGCAAATCTCCTTAGGGTCTAGCCTTTTCCGGCGTCCGTGGTCACATCGATTGCCATCCCATCTGTCTTCTTAAAAAAAGAAAAAATGTTTGCGCAGTCGACAGGATTTGAACCTGTGCGGGGAGACCCCAATGCGTATATAATCGCGTTAAACTTTGCATGCATTGGCTCAGCATTTATAGACGAGAGGGCACTGCGGTCAAATGCTCAAATGCGTATATAACCATGATCCATACCGCATTCTCTTTCTGACATGGACCGTTGACTTAAGCGGTGGAGATGCATTCCCACGGCTCCTGCCATCTAGCTGATCCGCTAGAAGAACCACTGGCTCTGCATTTCACCTACCATAAAGCAGTAATAATGAAGTCGAAACACAACCCGGAACTCAGCACTACCTATGAACAAAATCACTATCATCAGCACCACCAGAGCTTCGTCCCACTCAACATCATTGCTTTTTAGGGACATTTTTAATCTGTTCCTTAAATTTGTAGTTTTTGCCTACTAGCGGTCCTAGGAAAAGCCTGTTTGGTGGAACAGTAAAGCCCGGTGTAGACCGGTCTGGTTGGTCGAACGCACGTCCCGCGTTTGGAAGAGCCCTCGGGCACTAGCCGCCAAAGGCGTTTCTGCCGGGTGAGCTTGGCGGTCTTCCGAACGGGCCGACAGCCTAGCGCCCTTGATCGGGCAAGTCTGGCATCTCGGAAATGTCGACTGAATCTGGCTAAATCTCCAGCCAAGGCACGGCAGAAGGCAACGAGTATGTTGCCTTTTGCCGTTCTCAATCTCTCGGTGATCAAACGGTTCTTGTTCTGCGTGTCGCAGCACTTCTCAAGCAATGCACTTGTTCGTTGTTTTTTTTTTGTACATAATATCTTTTACGGTCATAATAACTTGCAAAATACTTTTTTGTTTTGTTTTGTTTTCGTTTTCAGTGACGGCGCTCGAAAAAGAGCTTCGGGAGAGCAGGCGAGCGATCAGACAGATGCAGTCCAAGTGTAAGAAGGCCCTGGTATGTGCTATTTTAAGTATATAATGTTGCATTTTATAGTGTATGTTTACATGATGTATTGTGCACAATGTATGATGTTTACATACTATAATTAGGGTTCCGCGTTTTCGGTTTCTATATTTTCAAAATTCGGCATACTTTTTTCGGTGTTTATTTTAAAATTAATTTTTCGGTTTTTTTCGGCGCATATTTATGTACACAAAAGTTTATCGGCTTTTTTCGGTGAATATAAATTAAACACCAACGGACTCCGGATCAGATGATCCTTTTACCTCTGATATTTGTGATCACTCAAAGAATAACGAAACAGATAATATTGAAAAAAAAGAAATGGACACTTTATTTGGCAAATGTGTGCAACTGTAAAACAATCAAGAAAAAAAACACAGGACTACAAACAAGTGAGTTATGAAGCCTATGCCCCCAAAAAACATGGAACTTCACCTTTTGTATATCAGGATGATGTGATCTTAATATAGTACACACATGCACTTTCCCAGGTTCTCCTCCTTGATCCACACTCTTTCTTTCCTGTTAATATGGCCCTGAGCTTCGAGAATGCCCTCTCAACGCTAGCACTGGACACTGGCAGGCTGAGGAGATGAAGCGCTGCCTGAGCCAAAATCGGACAATCAACCAATTGTGACTGGCACTGACCGCCAAAAAAGACATCGTGCGACGTTTTGAAGCACAACACAACATGCAGAGCTTGAATCAAATCAATCTTCCTTACAACGAGTACATGGCGAAGTCATGGGGAATTTCGGACTTCACGTTCCGATCGATGATGCACACATTAAACCAAAACGCCGTGATGGCATCCGTGTATCTCATACATTCGGACACGTTTCGATAGACACTGTCGTTCTACTTTTTCGCCACGGCTCTGCGGCACGACTGGAAGGTCAAAGTGACCTTTTCCGGTTAAAACAGAATTTTAGAAAATGGATTCGACGTGCTTTTATCGGTTTAAATTGAAAATGCCGAACCTAAAAACTGACCTTTTTCGGTTAAAACCGAATTTCCGAAAATGAATTCGGCGTACTTTTATCGGTTTTTATCGGTTTAAACCGAAAACTCCGAACCCTAACTATAATGTACAGATCGCGACACTGTTAGCTCGAAAGCAATCACCGTTTTTTAAGTTTTTTTTTGAAACCAAGGGATGTCATTTAAGTCGTTATTTGCTACGGCAAGAGCTCATTTAGTTCTACATTCAAGCGATAAAATTTCGTGCTCGCTAATACTATTTAGAAGTAAAATGCGAAAATGCGCCGATGTCGTGTTTGCGCTAACAGTGTCGTGATGTGTACATAATGCAATCTTTATGTGATCTATGTAATGTACATAATGTAATGTTTGCATGATATTTAATGTAATGTATGTTGTTTAATGTTTTCATTATGTTTATGTAATGAAATGCTGAAATGTTTACATAATGTAATGTCCGTGTATGTGCATTGTGTTATGTTTACGCACGTTCTAGCGGAATAATTAAATTTGTTTTATTGTGTCCGTTACATTATTGTTTCTTGGTCTTAGTTTTTAATTTATTTTCATTAATTCGGTGACGGATCAGTCTACATAAATTCAAGCTCTTTGTAAAATGAAATAATGAAAGCTTCAAAGAAACAAGGCACAATTCCTTACGGTTTATTGGTATTACTCAATGTGCTTTCCGAATTGATTGCTGCTAGTAATTGTTTTTCTTTTCACTTGCAGACGTGCTCCAAGGTATTAGCAGAAAAAGTCAGTGGCAAAGGTAAGTATTATTAATGGAATGTAAATGAATGTTGGCAAGAACACTCCAAATTAAATTAGACATAACTCAACACTTCATTCTTGGTATACAAAGACAGAAAGCACCGCTACCTTTTAATGCGAAAGCATTAACTAACCCATGGAGCGGAGCCGGCGGCGCCTGTAACCACAAAAAAACGCGAAAGAAATGCCCATTCTCCCATTGGCTAAGCAAAACGGCTCGTAGATAGCCATTCCCGGCCGCTTCACGAGAGCGCGTGCTCCGCCGCCTGCTGCAACCTCTGCTGTAGTGAAACGCGGCCGTCCACGCCAGTACAGCCAACGACATTCACGCTTTAGCATTCACAACTCGTAAGAAGCTCCTATATACATTTCTTTTCCCCTTCAATTGGGCAACTCTGCTGTGATAAATTAATTGGCTGGTGCCTTGACACCATATTCTGGTGTTTTGCATGGATACATTGCTTTGTAGAAACCACGTCGCAAATTAACAGAACCTCGTGCGTTTTTATCTCTCGCAGATCTCATAAATAAATTGGACAAGAGGCAGTTGAATCGTGTTGTCACCATTTTGGCCACGACAATGGCGTCTCAAGGAGAGGATGGCGTCGGCGAGAGCGGTATGCCTTCACTTCTGGTTTTCTGTTTCAGATTTAAATTCAGTATGCACTGTGCATGAGGTATCTTTTCTTCTTTTTAAATGGATAGCATTTATAGAAACATAGCTCCTTTTGCATCCTCATACAGGATGTAGCCTCGATGGAGAAGCGAGGAGGCTGGCGAGGGGAGGCATCTCGCTAAATATAGCAGACGGTGTTCACAGGACGTTGTCAGCTTGGCAGTCGTCACGCTACACTAATGTGACGCAGCACCATGGCATCATGCAGTACCATGACATCACGTGATACTGTGATGTCACTAACACCTTGATGTTATGACATCATGTGACACCGTGATGATGTTGCATGATGTGACCTGACGTCACAGCACAGTGACACCATGATGTCTCAGAGGACCTGTAATTGTATGCATCCTTTATAACTCAGAATGTGTTCTATCAGCTGATTTCTGTGGAGCTCTGTAACATTTGACTGTAACACACACGTTACACCCATAGGGAACCATAGAAAAAGACTCGAGTCCCCCGGCAGGATTGGAACTGGCCGTCCTGAGATTGTGAGCCAAGTGCTTTGCCGACCGAGCTATCCACGGTCGAAGCATGCGAGGGCAAAATCATTCACGGGGCGTGCCTCGCTGCCTTTCTTGTCACACTGTGTCATCTCGCGGCATGTGTCAGAAATGAGAGCAAATCTTAGTTTGGCACTGCCGTTCAGATGCCCTTCTCTTCTTCTCTGGAAGGTCTATCATGCATTCTGTGCTTAACGGTCTTTGTCAGCATGATCGAGCTTGCATAATTTTTTTGCCTTTAGTTACAGTTCAAGTTAATTCAGCAGAGGTCTGTGCTGCTGCCTAGTATACAGTATAATCCTCTTTTTGATGAGTGACCCCGTCCCGTTTAGTTGGTTGCTTGGTCAGTATTGAAGTGGTGACATAAACTGAGAAATGCATCGCATTGTGCAGAAAATGCTCTTTAAGTTGTTGAGTTTTTGGACTCTGAGATCAGCTTTAAATTTGTTTTTGTAAGCCTCGGTTATAAGGAGTGATCGTCATAGCAAGGACGTTTAGAGTGACCTTCGTATTTCCATGGTTTTACGAGCACGCTTGCAACGAGCACAGTTGCAAACTCACATTTTGCAGGAACGTAGGAGGCAGATCACCTTTATCTCAGATTTTCAGAGGTATGGGTTCTGGTGGTTGCTGCTAGTTTTTGTGTACTGTATTTTGTAAAAACAATATCAGCCTGATAATTTTGGAAGCAATATGACACCACATTGAGTTTCTATAGACAAGCATGGCACCCCATGCGTGCGGACACGGCTGCTGTGACTGCTTACAATGGCAGACTAGATCCTCTGTTTCCAAGCGTGTATACTTGTCATCAACATTTTTGTGCCCCATTGTCAAGGCTAGCATAGTTTTCAAAATGCTTGAGCTCCGCGCATCTTGCGTCTCATTCGCACATGCTCTCCCGAGGAGATTCAAACAAAACCATGCACTAGTGCTACTGGTTTTTACGGCTTTGTAGCTTTGCGGAAACCATGCTGGCGTTGACGACGTGACTTAAAAATTTTGGCCTTGAATATGGGAAGCTATACACTTTTTTTAGAAATGCGTTTTTGCATCGTCTTCAGTCATAAGACAGCAAAGTGTCATTGAAGGTAGGATGCTCGCACTGGAGACACAGTTTGTACTCCATTCTTCACCTATCACCGACTGTAGGTCTCTGAACAGTGTCAACAGGTCACAAGCTGTCCAGACGAGCATTCAGGGAAAGCAAATATGTGACTGTGGCAATGTTTGGCAGCCCAGATTGTGTTGTTTTGGTACGCGAAAATTGCTGTTAGAAATTCTCTGCTTCTCCTCCTTGCTTTAGCACTGCTGAAGCATTGTCTTAACCTATCAGTGTTGTAAATGTTGCCAGTGGCGATTGGCATACTGTAATGCTACCATATTAGGATAAAAAAAAAAGTTTTTTGGGGGTCATTTATACAAATTCAAAAGTTCAGGTGTTTTTTTTTTGTTTTTTTTTTCGTCTTCAGTTGCATGTTTTTTGGGTTACTCAGTTGACGACATCTTTTTGTATTGTCTAGTGTTACTGGAAAAGAAAATCTGTGTGAGAGGTTATTAATCACCAGTTTTTCCTGCTATAAAACCAGCACCACTCGGCACAGATGAAGTCATTACTAGGTTCGGTGTTGTACTGGATGGCCGAGTTGCTTCTAGAATGAGATATAAGACGACCATTTTAAAGCATACTTCCCGCCGTATAAGCACGCATGTAGGAAATTGGACTCTCCGAGTGATGCGGTCCAGCATGCAAAAGTAAGTTTTCGTCGTACGCTTGCAGATGACGGTGACCGGGAAGAAGACGCGGACGACTGTCACTTGGGGGAAGCTGCCGAGTATTTGGAGCAACTTCTTGCGAACGGAAATGGTGCCGAGGCTTCTTCAGACTCGGACGGCGAGCTGTGCAGCATCCACAGCGCAAGCGCAGACGAGTTGTCTCCGAAGAAACGTTCGTCAACATCTGACAGTAGAAAAAGAAAAGAATCTGTGAGCAAAGCGCTGGCTTCGGATTCAGAGTCGAAACAGCGTAAAGTCGTCTTCCCGGCGAAGAGTGAGGAACCTGGGGCAACCAAGTTTCAGGATGCCACTTCCAAGCGATTGTTTGAAACGGAAGATGATAGGCCCACCAATGCTGACGGGAATTCATTGAGATTAGACGAGAACTCGATGGAACAAGAGAGAAGCAAGACACCTCCGGATGTTGACGAGGTGTCGGAAACACAACAGCCAACGGACATGTCAGAACAGCAGCAGCAGCAGTTGACAGAACCGGACACAGGTTCTTCGTCGATCGAAGTGTGTGGCGGGCAGGGCCAAGTTGAAAGTGAAAGCGAATTGGACGGCGTGAAAGCATCGGAGGTAACGGTGCCTCTTGATTCCGAGTCGGGCGCCGAGCCGACAGAGACATTACTGCAGGTGCCACAGACAGATGCGTTAGGAGGGGTAGCTGAGGCAGACAAGGGAGGTCCCGGAGATCAAAATAAGAGCAAAAAAGAAACTCCTCAAGGCAATCATTTAGAAGTGCACAAACCAGAAGTTGTTGTTGGAGCTGACGCGGAGGCACCTCCCTTACAAGAGGTCCTCTCGGTAATGGGGCCATCGCAGATCTTGCCGGACAAGCGGGAGAAGGAGCCCAATGCCAAGGCAGTGAAAAGTAAGGAGAGCCTCGTCAAGGATGCCGTGGAAGACGGAGAATGCGACATGCGCGTTCTGAAGGCAGAGCTGAGCCACATGACAAGGGAAATGTGCTTGAAAGACATTATGATGTCTCCCTTGTCTCCCTTGCCTCCGTCCCCGCCACCTTTCGTGGATGAGAACCCTTTGGATATCTTTTCTTCCCAAAACGAAAGCAGAAGAGAAAACGCTTCCTTCGCTTCCACGTCCAGAAGCATCCAGTCGTCGCCTCCCAAGAAAAAGCGGAAACACAGGGACAAAACGCTCCCCTTCTCCAGCCAGAACGAGGAAACGAGCAGCACGTCATCCAGTGCGAGGGAACACAGAAGGCGGTTCCTACATCAAGAGTCCGAAGGATTTGAACCGCACGTCGGGAACATGGAAGAGCAGTACGGCTCAAGGGACGCCGGCTCGAGCTCCCTCAACAAGGTAGCTCCCAGCAACCAATCTCTTTCCACCAAGTTTTCCTGGCACCCCATCAACAAGTCCATTCATGTGGCTGCCAAGTTTCCTAGGGAATCCCTCGCCAAGCCTCACGTAATGCCCACGATCACCATCGACGTGGACGTCAAGGAGTTCGACTTCCACATGACTTTTAGCGAAGTTCCTTTGGACGAAGCGCAAACGACACAAACCTCTTCAGGCATACAGGACCACGGTCGACCCGAATTCGTCAGTGCTAGAGTTGAGCCGACCGTGCACCAAGACCAGCCGTTTGTGCGGCATCTACCCACCGTTCCCCGGCCTGTGACGACTCCTTTCGACTCGTCGGGATTCAGGGCGCCATTGCCTAGGAGACGCACAATCATAACCCCCGCGTCAAACTTGAACCGTGATCACACGCAGAGATACGAGGCGGTGTTACCGTTTGGCTCCTGTTCGCTGGACTCTGCTCCGGAGGAAGCCATCGATTCTCTCGTGCCCCAGATTCTGAATGAGAGTGCGTCCCTTGCTCGGCGCCCGCTCATATCTCCGCTTCCTCCGTCCCCGCAGAAACCGGGCGGCAGCAGCGGCGAACCGTCAGCATCTCAACGGAGGTTTGGCAGGAGCCATCACCCGTTGATGAGGCAGTCATCTTCGGTTCCTGAAGCGCCTCCAAACGCCCTTCGGACCTTGAGGCCAGAGAAGCGGAGGAGTTCATTTGGTTTTAGGGTGGCCTCTTCGACGATCCAGAGGGGTACGGAGGGTACGGGCGATCTGCGGACCATGGCAGACATTCCTGAAGAAGAGCAAGTGAAGGAAGTGCCTCTCGGGAGGAAAAGAAGGATCAGTCTGCTTTCCACAAAGGCCGCTGCAACCGTGTCCGCCGTGCAGCTCCCAAAGACTTCCGCGGTCACTACTCTGCCGGAACAAGACCACGAAGATTCTGCTCAGAATGTGCTGGAGGAAGGGAACACTGCGCCATCGGTTTTGACTCGCCGGCAGAGGATGCGGATGCTGTTTGCTTCGGACAGCAGTTCGGACGACGAGAAGCCAGGAAGTTCCAAGACGACTCCCGTGGTGTCAGCGAAGGAACCCTCGTCCAACTCTGTCGACCCTCCAAGCCTTCCGGGCCAGGCGAAATCGGTAGCAACCTCGGACAACGAAGTCTTTGCCGTTCCCACTGCGAAACGAAGACGCCTCAGCCGGCTCGCTTCGCGCGATACTGACTCCCCGTTGGAGGCCACCAAGGGACTGTCCTTGCCTTCTCCGCACAGTCCAGAGCCTTCGGGCCTAGACGCCAGCGTCGAGAAAGGTGCCGCTCGATTGCCGAAGTTCACCGCCATCCCCTATTCCATTTACGTCACAACGCAGGACCACCACACCATCTGCCTGCACGCGAGAGGCAGCCTCAACGCGGCCACGTCTCCTAAGCAAGCCCTGGAGAAGCTCGCCTGGCTGGCGGCGCAGCCGCAAGTGAACACCATGGCCGTGCCGAACATTGCCCGCGGAATACGTGGGTCGCTGGACCACATCGTGTTGACCACGCTCATCTACCTAGGCAACACGACGGCGAACCCGCTCTTGGCCTACCACCGCCGCGAGCAGTCCGTGCCGCTGCTGACGCACATGGAGTCGCTGATGCTGGACTGCTTCGAGCAGCTTCGAGGCAAGAGGGCCAATGTCGCGAACCTCTTCAATGGCCTCCTGTCGGCACTAAGGGTGCGGCTGGCGAGTCCGCGGCGGCCCAAGACCCTGCTGGGGCAGGCATCGTTTGTGCGAGTGGTGTCGGCCGTGTGCAAGCAACTGGGGGAGCTCTCCCTGGCCAGGGTGTTTGTGTGGGACTTGCTGCGGGGGTTTCAGGGGAATGCCATCTTCCTCGTGGCGGCCGCCGTCGGAGTTTGGCCGGAAATCCTGTCATCGTTGAGGCCCGAGCCACGGACGGGTGAGTTGGGAAGCGCTTGCTTGTTTGTACTAGAACCACCAAATAAATAGAAAGATGAGCTGGTTTAGATTGGCTGTAGGTGAAGTACCTACGGCTGATCTTACATTGTGACCGACTCTAGTAGGCCAAATTTTGTAGCCAAACATTGTCTGCCCCATCCAGTGGAACTTAACACAAAAAAAAGAAGAAAATGTAGCTTATTTGCATTTTAATTATGCTGCAACCAGAAATGTATAATTTCCAAAACTTTTGGACAACCTAAAAAAAAAAATCTTTGTAAACTCTTTTTAAAAAAATTGGATTATGGTGCCATAGAACGCATTTGTTCGTTTAATACAATCTTCAAAGAAAGGGGTATTTTGGAAGTGATAGCACATAAGAACTCCTGTCATAAAAATAGAAATGAACATCTTGATTAACAAAATAGTATTGTCTGTTGGTATAGTTAAAATAGCATTATTTTCACAGGACCCATGGCACTGAGTTATTCTGAGTCAGTTGCACAAAAACTCTTCACATGTATGAACTTAATTCAGAAATCAACACCTTGACTGACAAAAATACCGTCTCTTGGTATGGGGGCGCTGTGCACTATATTTTTGAGGGCGTTCCATGCGTTGGTGGCGGAGGGTCGGCAGGAAGGGCCTTCACAACAGGGATGCTACTGTTTTGTTTTTTCAATTGTAACAGAAGATGTGTGTTCGAGGATGCTTCAGGTGGTCCACTATTCTTGAAAATTCCAAATGACACCGCCTGCACGACCTTCAGGGAGGTAACCTACAATGAAAGTATGTATTGTCCTTTCATACAGCAGCGTGGTAAAGTTTCATGTACAAGGCCACACCTACAGATAAAAGAATACCAGTTCATTCCACCGTGACGTCATGTGACCAATATTGACAAGGGCGTCCTTATCGGACAGGGGCATGGTGACGTTTTGATGGGATTTAGGGTGACATAAAATTTATTCAGAGGTCGATGTCTTTTCGCATCTCTCGTCAGAAAGACAGAATATGAGGGAAGGGACCGCGGTCAGTCCTTGATGGAACGTTTTTTTGAGGCCATTGAAGACTCCTCGTCGCTTGAAATCACTAGCTTCAAGGCAAAGTGCCAAGCCTACGGGAAAGTAATTTCGGGATCAAAAACTTCCACTTCAAGCTTCATCTCAATTGGCATCTCAAACAAATGTGGAAAATGTATTGCAGGATCAGTATTTCTGTATTTGTATTTCTGCCCCCCCCTAAAATGTATTCCTGTATTTGTATTTCCAAAGACCTTTTGCCTATATTTCAAATGTATTTCCAATATGTATCGCGATACATTTTTACATATATATTTTAGCATCAGTATTTTAGCTACTATTTTAATGTATCCCAGTATTTGTATTTCCAAGTACATTTTAGAGTATTTCTGCCCAACGTTGACTGAAACCCCAGACATCCGCTGTGGTGCCAAGTGAAATGCCCAACCAATTCTGTAGCTGCTGCAAAAAATCAATCTGCAGTTGTCTCAGCAACACAGACACCTCCACACCTTGCACTGCTGAGTCCGACCCAAAAGCCTGCCAGACCAAATAGGCAGAGCAAGCAAGAGCTTTCTGCACCAAAAGAGATTCCCCGCAGAGTTGAAGAAAAGGACTTAGATACCCGGGTACAAGTAACCCTGAACTTCCAGCAGAACAAATGGAAGTAACTGATAACTGTCCCCCTATCAGCCTGGACCTCATAAAAGCATTATCCGAGCCTGAACCTGGAAAAGGACCAATGGCAACTGCCTAAGGGGAAACATAAAGCTAAAATAACCCCAAGCTCCTAAGTCAGGTGCTGCTTCCACATGGCTGAAGGAAAGAGAATTATTCAGGGGAACACCAAAGGTTTGAGGTGAAACATTAGAAAACTTGAAAAGGGCTATGTGTTAAATACAACAATCCCATTTTTGCATTGCAAGAGACCTTGCTGAACCCAGATGGCTCTAACAGCTGTACATTTAAATTTGCAGCATGCAGCTGTTTCCAGAAAGAATGGAGTAATGGCCAGAAGGGTGGTGGTGTGGCCATACCTGTGCCACCTCAAATCCCTGCCTTGCATATTGACCTGCAAACATCGCTCGAGGCTGTGGCCTTACGGGCCCACTTGGGAATTCTTATGCGGTCTGCGTTTACCTCCAAACTTAACAATACGAAAAAGAGAGATAGAAGCGCTGCTACAAGCACACCATCACGTCTGGGGATGCTCTAGAAATCATGCACGAGGTGATATGATACGCGGTATTTTACTCAAGAATGCCATCACACTTTTTAACAGAGGTTCCCCAACACACATAAGCATGACACACAGATCGTCCTCAGTTATTGACCTTAGCATTTGCTCCTCTGCTCTCTGTAAAGACCTTCATGCCCAGATCTAGAAGAAGCTTTATTTCCAAAAAAACAACATACCAAGCCACCCTAGTGGCGGCACAGGGTTGCCTGTGGCAATCTCACGCACGAAGGTTGTGCCGTCTACACTCTATCTTGACATTTCGTGGAAAGTAGAGACAAACTCATCAGGTAGTGACCACTATCCTAGTATTCTCAAAATACTGAAGCCCACTCCCTGTATAAGAACCCATACTCCCCATTGGATAATTGAAAAGGCAGACTGGGGAAAGCATTCTAAAATAGCAACTCTGCCAGAGGATGCCTTCTCAGATGTTTCTGTTGATAAAGCCACACAAGCAATCACTGCCCTGATCCTCGAAGCCGCAGCAAATGTAGTCCTTAAACTTTGAACAAATTTCCTATTCTCCCTAAACCCTGGTGGAATAAAGACTGCAAAAGCCAGAGCTGCTCAGAACAAAGCTTGGGCAATATTTAAAAGATATCCCACAACCGCGAACCTCATTGCTTTTAAGAAAGCAAAGGCTACTCGGCGAAAGATCACAAGACAAGCAAAGAATAGAACAAATCCAAGGAATCGATGAACCCTAAAACAAAGGATTGTGTTGTGTGGAATAGGCTCAAAACAATGTCAGGAAGATGCTCCAACCAGCAGTGTGTTCCCTCAAACAGAATGTAAGGACGTATCAGGTGTGGAAGAGCAGGCAGACCTATTAGGAGCCGTGTTTGCTGAAATTTCTAGCTCAGCTAACTATACCAGTAATTTCCTCAAGTACAAAAAAAAAAGTGTGCAAGAGGGAAAAAGATTTTGCATAAAGGTCGAGCATGCCACCCGATACAACAAGAATTTCACTTGCGCGGAACTTGAGAGGGCTCTGGAAGGAAACAAGAACACGGCAGTGAGACCAGATGACATCCATTACTCTATGATTTCTAACCTTTCACCTGATTCGAAACATTCTCTCCTATCCTCCTTCAACCGCTTGTGGAATGAAGGTGAATTCTCTGAAATATGGGGAATAGCAGTTGTTCCTATTCTGAAACAGGGAAAGGATCCCACCAATGCGAGGAACTATCGGCCTATTGTGTTGACAAGTTGCCTATGCAAAGTTATAGAACGCAAAGTGAAGAATCGCCTCATGTGGTACTTGGAAGCTAACAACATCCTTACACCATGACAATGTGGATTCCGAAAGAATTATTACACAACTGACCATCTGGTTCGATTGGAGACCTGGATTAGGAATGCTTTTGCCAAATGGCAACGCTTGGTCTCAATATGTTTCGACTTTGAGGAAGCTTATGATATGATGTAGCGCTATTGAATTTTACAAGACCTCATTAGCCATAACTAGGGTTCGTACTTTTTCGGTTTAAACCGATAAAAAACAATAAAAGTACACTGAATCCATTTTCGGAAATTCGGTTTTAACCGAAAAAGTCCGTTTTCAGGTTCGGCATTTTTTATTTAAACCGATAAAAACCAATAAAAGTATGTCGAATCCATATTCTAAAATTCAGTTTTAACCGGAAAAAGTCACTTTGACCTTCCAGTTGTACCGGAGAGCCGTGGCGAAAAAGTGGAACGACAGTGTCTATCGAAACGTGTCCAAATGTATGGGATACACGGGTGCCATCACGACGTTTTGGTTTAATGTGCGCATCATCGATCGGAACGTGAAGTCCGAAATGCCCCATGACTTCGCCATGTACGAGCGAGTTTTCAAACTCGTTGTAAGGAAGACTGACTTGATGCAAGCTCTGCATGTTGTGTTGTGCTTCAAAACGTTGCACCGTGTCTCTTTTGGCGGTCACAATTGGTTGTTTGGCCGATTTTGGCTCAGGCAGCGCTTCATCTCCTCATTCTGCCAGTGTCCAGTGTTAGCGTTGAGAGGGCATTCTCGAAGCTCAGGGTCATATTGACAGGAAAGAAAGAGTATGGATCAACGAGGAGAACCTGGGAAAGTACATGTGTGTGTGTGTACTATAAATAAGATTGCGTAATCCTGATATACAGAAGGTGAAGCTCCATGATTTTGGGCATATAGGCTGCATATCTGACTTGTTTGTACCGTAGTTGTGTTTTATTTTTTCTTCTTTCTTTTACAGTTGCACACATTTGTCAAGTGAAGTGTCCATTTCTTTTTCAGTGTATATGTGCCGCTATTCTTTGAGTAATCACAAATATCAGAGCTACAAGGATAATCTGATCCGGTGTCTGTTGGTGTTTATTTTATACTCACCAAAAAAAGCCGATAAACTTTTGTGGGCATAAATATACGCCGAAAAAAAAAACCGAAAATTGATTTTTAAAGTAAACACCGAAAAAAGTATGCTGAATTTTGAAAACGTAGAAACCGAAAAATCCGAACCCTAGCCATAACATTCAAGGAAATCTTTTAGTTTTCATGAATTACTTTTTAGGCCATCGGACATTTCAGGTTAGAAGAGGAACATGTTTGTCACAAGTATGTCCCTGAGAAATGGGAGTACCACAAGGCTGTGTTTTAAGTGTTGCACTATTTTTAATCAAAGTACTGTCGTGATTGTTTATAACGAAGTCGGTTAAAACGAAATAGCGACTATAGCGTGGCGATCAAAATGTCCCCTTCTCGTTTTCACT